CACACTTTTCAGAAAAGACATTGGAAATAGTCAACTGTATTTGTATATCAAAGTAATTTCATGCACTATAGATCTAAAGCAAAGATAACATATAAAAAAAGAATTATCTCTCTAGATCAGAGTGTAAAGATTGTATCTTTTGAATTTTGATTCTACATTAAAACTAGTGCTGTAAACACTAATTAGCAAATACTGTTTTAAGGACAGTATTTACATATACCATGCAATGTTCTACTGAATTTTCTCCTTTTTGATTGTATGTTCAAAGAAGCACCATTCAAGATGATTGTTTTGTGTTCTTAAGTGGTTTAAAGGATCAGTATGTGACAATAGTTTTTTCCTAAATGGTTTGCATTTGCCATAAAAATATGTAGATTCTCTTTTTCACAACCTATACTGACTCGGTTGGAATGTGTCTGTCTGACAGATTCGTGTGTTTGTATCTGTGGTTTTACCACAATGCCATAATACAATTGAATTCCATAAAATGTATAAAATCCTGCTCTTTCCAAGTTACTCTGTGAGGCTGTGTGGCAGGAGTTCATCATACCGCCACAGTGCAATGCTCACAAATGAATGGGGGAAGAGACTAGGCTAATACAAATCATAGGGAGAGAAGCAAACCAAGTTAGCTGCTCCTACCTAGGAAGAGTGGGTGCCTGTATCAATCAAGATTCCTTGTTGCAAGAAATGGATGCTAACTTTAACTGATTAAGCAAAGTAAAGCGTGTGTGCGTGCGTGCGTGCGTGCGTGTGTGTGTGTGTCTGTGATTCATATGTTGGGCAGTCTGGAAAACCAATCTGGAAGCTAAGCTTTCAGAAACTGGCTTGACCAGAAAACTAACTGCTGCCCCTACTACCACCACCCCAGCAGTTCCTCTTCTGCCTCGGGAACTCAATCCTATTCATGAGGCTGTTCCTGAAGGTCAGACACCCCAACAGTATCCCCAGGAAAGTAAAAGGAATTGTGGAAAGAGCCTTTTCCCCTACATGGCTCATTTCTGAGTCACGTGAGGTTGATCGGTAATGTCTAGATCACATGACTATGCCCTGGTTAGCAAAGAGGCTCCACCAGCAGGAACTGGGTGGGGCTCATCAGAAGGATGATGTCCCAGACTTGGCAGAGATATGGTTTGGATTTGTGTCCCTGCCCAAATCTCATGTCGAATTGTAATCCCCAATGTTGGAGGAGGGGCCTGGTAGGAGGTGACTGGATCATGGGGGCGGAGTTACCCCTTGCTGTTGTCATGACAGTGAGTGAGATCTTACGAGATCTGGTTATTTAAAAGTGTGGAGCACTTCCCTATCCTCTCTCTTCCTCCTGCTCCAGCCATCTAAGAGAAGCCTGCTTCCTCTGCCCCCATGAATGTAAGTTTCTGAGGCCTCCCCAGCCATGTTTCCTGTTGAGCCTGCAGAACAGTGGGCCAATTAAACCTCTTTTCTTTATAAAGTACCCAGTCTCAGGCATTTCTTTATAGCAGTACAAGAATAGACTAATATGGTGTTCAAAGGGAGATAAGAAACCAAAAACATGACAAAGGCTTACTCAGCTTCAGAATAAGCTCGTTTATTCAACTTCACTAAGTGGCTACCATTGCTGGGCCCAGTTGCTTTCCTTTTATTCCCATATATGACACTGTGTTGTCATCCTTTATGTGCCCCTCTCAGCAATTTGGCCCTGTCATCATTACCTCCCATTGATTTGAAAGTTTCTCAAAGGCTGGAACATTTAACTGGCACATTTGCCACAAACTCAACAAGTATTTATGAATGAATAAACAAATGATAAAAGTATAAAATATTGCATAAGTGAAAGCATACAAGAAAGGCAGGAAAGCGCACCATAGAAGATGTGGCATTCTAGCCTATCCTCAAAGAAGAATAAAGAAACAAAGAAGAGTGCTCTAGCCAAAGGGAACCATGTAAGCAATGGCCTGGGAGAAGGGAAGTAGTGGGCATTTTGAAGAAGTCAGCACTTGAATTGCTTGGCATCTAGCAACAGTTCTTTATCGCATGGAGAGAAGAGGTCAAGGCTTGTCACCAACCCTACTGAACTGTACCGGAATACAGGAGAGTGAGGTGGCAAGCTTGACACTGATGACTTCTCAGGTAATTCTGAGGAGTGTTCCTGGATAAGAAACATTATTTATAAAGTGTAGAGGGAGGAAGAAGAGATAATGAGGAAGAGAGGAAGTAGCAAGCAAAGTCGTGAAGAAGTTTCTTTTGGGGGTCCTCCTATCCCCTTCATGCCCTCACTTCTCTACTTCATTGGCCTCACTACCTTGCCTTTATTCCGGTATCCTGCTTGCAAAGGCCCCTGCTGATAGGGCAGTTACAGCAATTCTCCTGAGAGGGACCTCCTTAGTTGCCCTTTCATGTAGTTACTTTTTATTGGCATACATTTGAGAGGCCACCACAGGCAAGCCAGTGTTCTCGCTACAGATGCCCAAATGAAGTCATCTCACCCTCAAGGATTTCACAATCTATAGCACTTTCATTTTAATATATAAGAATATACATCATACACCTTTAAGAACTGAAAGAATTGTCAATGGCACCAAAATAGGGAGCTATCTCAAAACAAATAGTCTTGTCCTAAATTCTTAAAACACCTCCACTTAAAAGTCTGTCCATTCTAAAATTGTTCCTGCCGACTTCCAATTTCCTACATGTTGAAATATGTAATATTCAAACAGCAAATTGCAGCTGGATATGCTAAATTTGTCTACAGGGATCCATAGTTTTCAGAAGATACTTTTTTAAATGATAAGAGACGATGGAGAAAAGAGTATGTGAGTAATGGGGGAGAGAATTCCAGGCAACTCTCTTAGCAGAAAGTGAATTAATTTCTTCCTAAAGAGGCAGAACTCCCCCTATTCCATCACATCACAAGCATTTTGTGAAGGGCATTGGCACAGCTGACGTGCTGCAGCACAGTTCAAAAGGAACAAATGCACATGACCCCCACATCTGAAACAAGAGTAGCCCCTGACCTTGCTAACCAAAGGCTCCTGGAGGGGAAAAGTCATCAGAAGAAAGAGCGGAATGTAAGGGGAAGATTGATTGGCTCTGCAAGACTGCAGCCTCAGCTCAGCTGTGGTTTCACCCAGGTGAGCACACTGCTGGTCGGTGCTGGGCTGAATAGGTCATTTTATTTTTTCAGCTGCCTTTGGTTGTACTGACATAACTGGGCCCCCACCCACGGCTCTACCACATCTCTATCAACTCCACTCATATACTTTATGCTCTAATAACACCTAACCGCTATCGTGGCCTTCCTGTTCCCCACCCCCCATACACTGTCTCAGACATTTTCATCTGCTGCTTCTCCCTCTTACACATCCTTCAATGCTGGACTCAAGAGCAATTTTGTGCAGGAAGTCCTCTCTGCCCCCTCTTTGTCGGTGCCGTCATATCTTCCTGGGTGTGTCCTCAGTAAGTCATTCAACTTCACCATCCTCTAAGCCATTGAAGTCCAAACCCTTGCTTACCCATCTTTGAATCCTCAAGACAGGGTGGTAACTGGCAGAGAGTAGGTGTTCAGTATTTGTTGAACTGAATGGAATGCATCCTATCTGCATACTTAACATCTTGGGCACAGAATATAGAGAGAACTAAAGAGGGTTCCTGTCCTCCCCAGACAGACTTGACAGAATCCCAAAGTATACAGAAGTTGGAATGAGCTGTGGCAGTAGCCCAGAAAAGGAGAACATACGTCTGAAGGCAAGAAAAGAATTCATCAAAACGGTAGTGTGTGAGGGCCAGGTGCTTGTAAGCCCAGCACTTTGGGAGGCTGAGGCAGGCGGATCGCTTAAGCTCAGGAGTTCGAGACCAGCCTGGCCAACATGGTGAAACCCCGTCTCTACAAAAAATACAAAAATTAGCCCGGTGTGGTGGGGCTCGCCTGTGGTCCCACCTACTGGAGAGGCTGAGGTGGGAGGATCGCTTGAGCTCAGGAGGTGGAGGTTGCAAGGAGCCAAGATCACGTCACCGCACTCCAGCCTGGGCGACAGAGGGAGACCTGTCTCAAAAAATAAAAACTAAAAAGAAGCATCTGAGAAGTCCTAAGATTGAACCTTGGAAAAGCTCATGTGATGTGACTCCAGGAAGAATTTTTACTGTAGGGCCCAGTAGAGCATGAGCTGGGGGTGGGTGAGGGGGGTGGGAGTGTCGGGGGAGGTGAGGGAGTATCAGTTCTTCACCTTAGCATCCCATTCTGAAGCACAGGAGAGCCCCTTGTCAGGGACAGACATGCATTTATCATTTCTGTAAAACTGACTCAATGTACAGCTACGGAGCTAATTTCACGCTGTTTATCCTGTAACATGGATTCTGTCTATGCTTCCCAAGTAGTATTTTCATTTCCATTTTAAATTTCAGAGTTTAGAAAAAGGCCCTCAAATACTTAGGAGAACCATTTAAATCAGGTGCCCAAAACTAGATGGCACATTCATTCATCTACGGTTGGATGGTTAATAAGCAGTGCAAGAAATGAGCTGTTTCAGAACGCAGACATTTGTTAGAGAACAGGAACTTTTGCTCTCCGTCCTGGAGATTCACAGGTTTGGCCCAATTCTTTGTGAAAACAGACCAGGGCTCCTTCTATGAGAAGAGTGGAAGAGAGGAATGAAGGACAGGAAGACGACGGAGTTGGGAGGAACAGAAGAAAAGGCATTATGTTACATAGGGAGAAATCTAGGCTCCAGCCTCAGCTGTGCTGCTAACTCGCTGTCTCTTGACCTCTCTGGGCATTAATTTCCTCAATCTACAAAATAAGGCAACAGGACTGAATTATCAATTCTAGCCCTTCCACCTATGATTCTAACCCATTTCGGTGCGCCTAATGAAGGAGGGGACATATGGTCAACCAGGAAGACCCATAGGGGCCACGGCGGGCTGATACGACCCTCCCGGGCTCTCCCTCCCCACCCCGCCTTTGGCACCACCCGCCCTTGCGCGCCGCCTCCGGGAGCGAGCCGCGCGCGCCCGAGGCCACGTGACCTGAAGCCGCGGGGGCGCGCCCCAGCCGCCATGTCGGAGGTCCGTGGAGAGCCGGGGTCCGGAACTGAGGCCGGCGTCCGATTCTTCTGCACCGCGGGTCGCGGCCTGGAGCCCTTCCTGATGCGCGAGGTGCGGGCGCGGCTGGCGGCCACGGAGGTGAGTGGGCCTCGCTGCGCGCCTGGGAAGGTGGGCGGCTCTGCCCCTGCCCCGTTGCCCACCCGAGGCCAGTCGTGCACGCGGGAAAGCGACGCCGGCGCCCCTCTCTGTTCCACGCGACGGTCGCCGCCCCCAGAGGTTGACTGGCAGGCGCTTCCGCTATGGCCGAGGGAAGCCACCATTCCTTTCTTTCCTTGCTTAGCAAATCCAGTTCCTCATTTCTCAGGGCTCAAGTTTTTAAGAGAGGTGTTGAGGCAAGTTATTTCCTGCATTCTTTAAAGTACTTAGTAGTGCCTGTGATTAGAATCTGGCTTGTCAGAGTTAGAACCCTTCGTTCTTTAAATGCAAAGATGATCTCCAAGTTCAGTTACCTGACTTTTTGTTAGTTTCTTGACAGTGATAGTATTTTACTTCATAGGATTGTTGTGAGGATTAAATGACATAGCGTATGCAAAGTACACTTTAAACGCACAGTAAATAGCAGCCAGAAAAATAATATACTCTTGCGGGCCTCATGGTTGTCTGTTGTTGATTTCCATGAAATGAACAAAGTTTTTAAGCGTTGGTTTAGGTTTTAGAACGTTGAAAACTGGTTTCTTGAAAGTAAAGGATGAAGGTATAATAGAAAAGGTATCTTGATGGGGGGGTACATGGGACAGTGTGAGTGGTGTGCTCTTGGACAAGGAGAGCTTGCTAAATGAAATTAACCCCTCCACCCTGGCAGCTTCTACGGTGTGGGAAGCCCACAAAAGGAGTTTCTGCAGTGAAGAGTTGGAGTCATGAAGAATTATGTCAGTTTTATTAGACTGCCTGCCACCTGTGTTTTGGGTCACAGAATTTAATAGAGTATTGAATGTAGCTAATCTAAAAAAGCAACAATATATAGTAACTACTGACATTTATTGAACATTTAATATGTGTCAGGCATGTGTTCTTAGATCTTTACCCTACGTTTATTTGCGTACTTTTCACAACAGCCCTATAAGGTAGGTGTTCCGCATTTAACAGATGAGAAAAATGAAGCACAGGTAAGTCCAATAATTTATTCAAATCATGCAACTAGAAAATCGCAAAGATGGGATTCAAACCTGAGCTGGGAAATCAAGAATGAGTATATAATCACGTTCAAACCAGGCCCATGACATAGAGCTGCGCTAGTTTGTTTTTTCAAATGCTGACTTAGAGTGCTTGGTGTGAAAGAGAGATGGCTTGGCCCAGTTGAATATGTAGGTTTATTAGAAAAAAGAAAGACTCTCTGCTTGTTCTCCATCTTCTCTAAAGACAAATGAAATTGGGAAAACTTTATTACCAGGAAGAAAATTCAGTTACCTATAGGGAAAACTTTGTGACAGTGAGAGTAATTAAATGCCAGTAGATTTGGGAATTTCCATATTCTGCTCTTGTATGTTTGAAGGATAGATAGGTCTGGAAATGGGATCTGAACAAATAATCTCTGAAATTCCACCTCAGTTGCTCTGATACAAAGTGAACTCTCAAAGTTAAGGCAATCCTGAAATAACAGTGATGACAACTAACATGTACTAAGCACTTAAAATGTTAGACAAGTTATGTGCATGTTATGATTTAATCCTCAAAAGACTCCTATGTGATAGACTTTTACCTCCGTATTTTACAAAAAAAGAGAAGATTGGGACTTGTATCTGGAGCCTTTCTAGTTTTAAAGCCTGTGTGCTTTACCACTAGGCTAAGTTACCGTGGGAATCTGCCCTGGAACATTGGATGTAGTTTATTTCTGTAACACCATGGTAGAGTATGTATGGGCTTTAGAATCAAAAGACCTGTGTGCAGATCTTATATATTTCTGTAGTAGATAGGTAACTTTGGGCAAATTACTCAAAAGTCTGAGCCTCAATTGTCTTGAATGTAAAATAGAGATGATAGCTACTTTAAAGTATTAATGTAATCACTGAAACAAAGATAGCACAGGTAGCATGATGCCTAGCAAATAGTTAGTGCTCAATAAATTTTAGTTCCCATACAATGAGTTGTATAGTAATACTTAAAACATTCTTTTAGTGACAAGAGAGTGTTAGAAACTTTGGATCACATCAAGGAAATTAATATTCTAAAATCTAAATTTACAAAACAGATTAATTCAAGAATGATTGTTTAAGAAAGTAATCACCTCATTTTAATCAGTGTTTTTCCAATTTTGATGAACATAAGAATCACTGGGGAAGCTAGTTGAAAATGAGTATTTCTGGGTGCCAGCCCCAAAAGGTTTTCTTTTAACAGGGCAGCTGGTAAGCCCAGGTGATACCATTTTAACATGAAAACATGCTGCCCTCCCAGGTAACTCCAACACACAGCTTGCAGTGGAAAATTTCCTGTGTATTCTTTTTAGCTTTCTATCATGGAGAATTTCAGAAATATACAAAAGTAAACAAAATAGTATGCCGAATCTAGCCTGGTGCGGTGACTCATGCCTGTAATCCCAGCACTTTGGGAGGCCACGGTGGGCGGATTACCTGAGGTCAGGAGTTCAAGACCAGCCTGGCCAACATGGTGAAACCCTGTCTCTACTAAAAATACAAAAAGTTAGCCAGGTGTGGTGGTGCACACCTGTAGTCCCGGCTATTCAAGAGGCTGAGGCAGGAGAATTGCTTGAACCCTGGAGGTGGAGGTTGCAGTGAGCCAAGATCACGCCGCTGCACTCCAGCCTGGGCGACAGAGCAAGACTCCATCTCAAAAAAAAAAAAAGAAAAAAAATAGTATGCTGAGTCTCCATGGTGTAGTTTAACATGTTCCTCTGTCCTCTGTATTTCCTACAAGTTGAAATCCTGTAAGTTGTATCTAGAACTTTGTCAGATTCAGGTTTGATGTTTTTTCTCCCTTCTGGTTGTATGGCAAATTTCTTCATAAGTCCCTGGATGATGTTAAATATTTAATTTACGTATCTACAAACATGTATCACTTAGACTACTTAGAACAAATTAATATATTGAGAAAAATTAAGCTTTACTTTATAATGTTTAATGTATTAAGTACTGCTATTTATTGTAAGACTAATAGTAGGAACAGTTATTTTAAGATAAAATTGAATGTTGTAGAGATGTCTCTAATGTCAGTTCACCCGAAAAGTCCTGTCAGTTGATTCATTGGTCTTTGTAAACTCACATATCAAACACTATTAACACAGGTCCTGAATAGGCCATGTAAATTTTTGGTTTTTTAATGGTGTCATCACAGTCGAGGGTAGTGGGGTCGAGTTAAGCAGAAAGTCAGATTATTTCATAGTTATTTTCATTTAATGGAATAATTGCATAAGGTTGCCTTAAAGATTCTCTGCATTCGCTTTAAATTGAATGCCTCTTTTTTTTTTTTTTTTGACAGAGTCTTACTCTGTCACCCAGGCTGGAGGTGCAGTGGCGTGATCTTGGCTCACTGCAACCTCCGCCTCCCAGATTGAAGCAATTCTCCTGCCTCAGCCTCCCAAGTAGCTGGGATTACAGGTGCCTAGCTAATTTTTGTATTTTTAGTAGAGACAGGGTTTCTACTAAACATATTGGCCAGGCTTGTCTTGAACTCCTGACTTCAAGTGATCCGCCCACCTTGGCCTCCCAAAGTGCTGGGATTACAGGCATTAGCTACCATGCCCAGCTGAATGTCCTTTTTACAAATTAAGTGAAACATGTTTTTGAATTCCTTCTTCTAAAATAAACCAAAACAAACTCAAACACCACATTAACCCATCACTTAGCACTTTCAAATTAGTTCTGAAACTGGCCTCTGTAGAATTAGGAGAACTTTGGTACCTCCCTATATCATGATATGTTTTTGCATAGATTTAAACTTTTTAAAAAAAATTGTCACAGGATCAGGCTCTGTCACTCAGGCTAAAGAACAGTGGCGTGATCACAGATCACTGCAACCTTGATTTCCCCAGCTCAAGCAATCCTCCCACCTTACCCTTCCAAGTAGCCTCTTGGACTACAAGCACATGCCACCATGCCTAACTCATTTACTTTTTGTACAGACAGGGTCTCACTGTGTTGTCCTGGCTGGTCTCAAACTCCTGGGCTCAAGCAGTCCTCCCACTTGGGCCTCCCAAAGCACTGGAATTATAGGCGTGAGCTACCACATTCACCCTAGATTTAAACTTTTAATCTTGGTGTTAAATTTGAATCCATGAATTTTAAAAGAAAGGAAAAATAATGTTTAGATAATCTAGTAGAAAATAGAGCTGTTATTACTTAATAAAAGCTGTTATTTCATCTTCGGAAGTGTTATACATAAAACCAGGTGTTTTTAGACACTTGGTTATGATTTAATTCTAGATAGAAAAAAACAGATTGTATATATAAATAAATTTTCAGGTGAGAAACTTGAGAATGAAATATTCCAAATGCCTTATTTCTCCCTGAGTGTTGTAATTAAATATGAATAGTTATAAGAAATAAACTAAAGAAAAAGACTATTAGTAGCTTCAGCAGTTCTTGAAATCATAAGCATCAAAATTAATTCTCCCTACTGTTTAAAGATATAATACCTGTCTTCACAAAGAGTGAACTGTTTAAGTGCATTCACAGATAGGATTATTTGATTCTCACAGTTACTACTATTTTACATTTTATTAAACCACAGTAAGTCTTCATTTAATGTCATCAGTAGGTTCCTGGAAACTGTGACTTCAAGCAAAAGGATGTATAATTAAATCATTTTTACCATAGGCTAATTGAAATAAAAGTTCCTACAGTGTATTTCTAGTCAAAAAAAAATTCACAAACTTCTAAATAAAGAGGTTATTTAGAACACTTCTAATAGTAAATGCTGAAATAACTCTTCTAATATTAAACATTGAAATAAATGTAAGCTATACATACATTTAAGAAAGATTGATAAAAACAAGTAGGATAATTATTTATCCATCTATTCCAGTTCAGTTATTCCATGGTTGTCACTGGCCAGAGCCTATCCTGGCAGCTCAGGGCACAGGGTGGGAACCAGCCCTGCATAGGATGCCATCCCATTCCCCGGCGCACTCACACGCACCCACATTTACTTGCACTGGGACCATGTAAACATACCAGTGACATAACAGGCACACTCTGGGATGTCAGAGGAAACTGGGGTACTCAGGGAAAACCCATGCAGACATGGTTCACCTGGACAGTAGCCCTGGCTGGGAATTGGTATTTTTTCTTGTCAATATCATGATGAAACAATGTTGAACAAAACAGTGTTATTCAAGGACCTGCTCTACTTCTGTTAACATGCTTATTACTTCTAAAAGAAATGTAGGCCTTATGATAATTCGTAGAATAATGTTGCTGCTTTTGGTTTTGAGAATGTATAATTCTTAGAATAATGTTGCAGTTTTGGGTTTCGAGAATGTATTTGGCATTTTACTGCACTAACATATACTATTCTTATGATCTGATGTTCTAAATAAACTTTTTGGGCCCTCTTAATTAACTTGATAGTCATGTTCTTTTTGGAAACCACTGGCCCCAGGGGGAAATATATATATATTTAAATGTAAATATACATTTTTAAAATATAAATATTTTATATATATATATATATATGTTAGAGAAAGCTCATCAGATAAAATGCTTCCCTGGATATTTGAATAAGAAAATAAGATCTTCATACGATTAAGTAACTATAATATCTAGATCACTGACTACCTAGGTTAAAGTCACTGGTCTAGATCTTTGCGCATCGTTTTACTTGTTTACAGAATTTGAAACTTAAAACCATACATTTTCAGTAAAATATTTAGTTCTGTTCCCCCAGAATCTTGGCAAAGTATTTCGTCAGTTAAATTGTTCTGCGATGGCTTTAGGACCAACTATATTCTTACATCAGCTAACTTATGAATTTTTGATAATTTACCTTTTAAAACTTTGTTTTCAAGTTTCTAAGCATTTTGAAGTATATACTTTAGTTTTGGGGAAATGTCACCTATGTAATAAGAAAGAAGTAAATTCTAGAAACCAGAAGTTCTGGTTTTGGTTACTTCACTATCCCCTTATATATTGATTCCTAAATGTTCTTTTCATTCCCTGCTTCCTCCCATAGTGTCATTGTCTGTTCCTCCATCTCTTTTGGTCAGCTGCATTGCTGTAAGCTATTTGAGTTTTAATTGGTGCCAATCTAGGGCTTCTTCAGGAGAGATTCTCTTTCATCAGCCTGGAGTAGCAACCCCAGAAATTACCATTCCAAGAGTTTAATTAGATCTTGTCAGACCCAAAACAAGCAAAAACCCTTGCAGTTCAAGTACCCATGGATGGTAGCTGCCTTAACACACAAGAAACCCCACAGTCCCTGGTGTCCGAGTTCTAGGAGATTATTTAGAACCATGCTATTCAATTGTTGGCCACTGCTAAAAAGAGAGCTCCAAGAGAGCCCACGTCCATCCTGGACTTAAAAGGGTTGGGTTGACCCTAAAAGAGTTAAGATTCCATTGGTATTGAGCACCCTTTGTCACAGCATATTAGGCTTCCTGTGAGTCAGTGCTCTTTTCATTTTTCTTCTCTTGCCACGTATCCATCCTTTCTCCAAAACCTGTTTCTGTTTGATGCATATGTCTTGCTTCTACTCATTATCCAGTTTCAGCAGCCAAGTATCTTGTCATTTCTACCTCAGTAACCTCCTTCTCCCTCTAGCATCACATTCTACACTCAGTCCTTTATGCCTCTTGTAATTTTTTCTGTCCGCTAATTCAGTGCTGTCACAGTTTTCATCAAGAGTCTATAATGGTTGACCATTACCATTCGTGGTACTCAAAATTTCATGACCATTTGTCAAGCTGGCCGAAACTACATCATCCATCCACCTGACACTATCAATCAGCATAATACAGCAAATGTTGCTTACAGGTTACTTCAGCCAGGTTTTCATTCCCACTTCTGCATCTGCCCCTTGTTCTTTTATTAGAATCCTTCTTCCCAAACCTTACAGGATTCTTTCCGAAGACTCTTTGTAATGTCGGCTTTCATATTCATTTCTACTTAGTGTACTTACAGCTTGTCAATGCATTATAATGTTAAAACTTTTTAGTTTTCTTCTGGGTTTAATTCAAGTTATTGTCTTATAAATCTTATGTTTTAATGTGTATGTCAGTGTGTGTCTATTATTCAGAATATATGTTTTATGCTTCCTGGTAGCCTACAGGTAAGTCTTCAATAAATATCCACCTTGGGCTAGACACCTAATTGTCCAGTACATTATACCTTTGTCTACTTTTGGTGGTGATAGGATCTACCTTAGAGGGTTGTTATAAGGGTGAGGAGGAAAATACTTATTCAGAGTTCCTAGTACAGAGCCTGACAAATAGTAGATACTTCAGAAATGGTTATTTTTATGTTTAATTTAAATGCTGTACCTTAAGAGGGAAAAAATATCATTTTTACACTGACACTGGACTACATTGAAAGCTGTTTTTTTATTTCTAGGTTGAATATATTTCAGGAAAGGTTTTTTTCACCACCTGTTCTGATTTGAATATGTTGAAGAAATTAAAATCTGCCGAAAGATTATTTTTGCTGATTAAAAAGCAGTTTCCACTTATTTCTTCTGTAAGTAAAGGTATGGCATATCCATATGTGTGTTGCTTTTACCCACATGACACATTGTACTCCAACATTTTCTGCTTGATAATTAATATGTAGCCATTTTACACTTTAATATTCATTGACATGTGTGGGATCATTAATTGTGTATTTTTCTGTATTTCCTGAATATTATCACCTGATTGTAGTAGAATATTTCTTCTCTTTGCAACCTGTGTGCTGCCTTTTTTATGAGATTTTAATGTCCTAAGCCACATTTCTTCTTTGAGAATTATGATCAGGTACCTTCTCTAGAGATATATATGGTCAGTTGCATTTATTTGGATTTAGAAACATGCAGTAATCCAAAATGCGTTATTTTCATAGTAAATCAGTGAAAATAGTCATATTGTACATTTTAACTGTGTGATATAATTGGAAAAATACTGCATAGTAAAAATTTGTATTTCTGGGACCTTAAATGTTTTTGATAAACTTATGCCCGCTTATCAAGCATTAGAGGTGAAGGGGGCATAAGAGATTTCTTGTCCACTCTCTAAATTTTATAAATATGCTACTAAAACAACATATGGATCTTGGTAAAAACAACAAAACATGGTCAGACACTGCAGGTTTAAACGCTGCCTTAAACTTCAATTTGAATTACATAAGAGATCATGTATTTATAGCCTATAATAAACTATTTTAAGAAAGATGCAAATGGCAAGACATCAAGACCAAGCAGAAAAAATTGTTTTAAAGCAAATCCCAAAGTATTATACTGTGGGGTAAATATAATTCCTCCCAGTACTCTACACACATTCATCTTTAAGGAACTACAGTAATTTTTGGATCATCTTGATGACCCTGGTTCATCAAGAGAAGATTAAACTTTGCTGAGCATACTGGCAGTATGCTAAGCTATGAATGGATTGTGAGTTACTTTATGGAAACGCACTATAATATACTTATTAATATGATGTGGGCTAAAATGTAACAGGCCCAAGATTCAGCTCCTCTGTTTCTGAGCTGAGTTTTTCAATTTATTCTTTTCTTATAAAAACTTAATTTTTATAGGCAAGATCACCATTATTTAAAGGTTGATATACACTCTAGGTCTATGTATATGTTGAAGAGATACATATATTACCATAGCACAAATAATCTTTCTAGGTTATTATATGGTAATTCTATAGGAATTTTAACACAATGTGGATGCTATATATGCAATATAAGAATGAACTTTATTCTGCACAATATTCTTATGGTAAAGGGAATATAAACTCCAAATGGAAGTGAAGTTATTCATGTAGCAATTTAATAGAAATTCAAAGAAATAAAGGTAATGGAATTTGGGGGTGATGATTGTAATAGATAGTCTTTAAAGCTTCAATATAGGATCAATAAGATTTTTCTTATTTAGGAAAACTACTTAACGAAATGCAAAGACTTATAAATGAAGATCCAGGAAGTTGGTTGAATGCCATTTCAGTCTGGAAAAATCTTCTTGAACTTGATGCAAAAAAGGAAAAACTTTCTCAGAGAGATGATAACCAACTAAAAAGAAAAGTAGGAGAAAATGAAATCATCATTGCAAAGAAATTAAAAATAGAACAAATGCAAAAGATAGAAGAGAATAGGGACTGCCAGCTGGAAAAACAAATAGAAGAAGAAACTCTGGAGCAAAGAGATTTTACCACTAAAAGTGAAAACTTTCAAGAAGAAGAATTTCGGAATGACATAGAGAAAGCAATTGATACTCATAATCAGAAGGACTTGACTTTCAGAGTATCTTGTCGCTGCAGTGGAACTATTGGAAAGGCCTTCACTGCCCAGGTATGCTTGCATCCCAAAGTGGAGTCTGTCGCCCAGGCTGGAATACAGTGGCACGATCTGGCTCACTGCAACCTCCGCCTCCCAGGTTCAGGTGATTCCCTTGCCTCAGCCTCCTGAGTAGCTGGGATCACAGGTGTGCACCACCACACCCAGTTAATTTTTGTATTTTTAGTAGAGACAGGGTTTCACATTGGTCAGGCTGGTCTTGAACTCCTGACCTCAAGTGATCCACCCACCTCAGCCTCCCAAAGTGCTGGGATTACAGGCAGGAGCCACCGCACCTGGCCTGTGGGTCCCATTTTTTTTTTAAAGAATTACTTACTCTTTAGATTGAAAATGAGATGCAAACCTCTCACAGAACGAATAACTAGGCCCAGACAATTAGTTCTTATGGAATTAAATATCTTTAAAACTACATTTTCCTTTTAATTTTCCCTCAGATGTTTAAGAGGAATGGTATGCCATTCCAAGTAATTACTTTCTTATACTTGGTGCCTAAAAATTTCCTTAAATCTACAGATGTCCTTTGTATTTGGAAATCCTGATACCATAGTCCTCAGCTTTTGGGGTTTCTCTTCAGTTCAGCTTTGTGCTTATTCAGTGGCTATTCTGCACAGGTCCTGTACATGGGATTGTCACCGGGACCTAGACTGCAAATGCACGTGAGGTCTCAGCAATATAGAGAAGAGCGAACACCACAAATTGGCCATCACCAAACCTCATCAGTTGGCCCTTACAAAGTTCAGTGATGTTAAAGGCCATTGGTCTGAATACTTTATCAACCTTAAAATCAGTCAGACCCTAAAGGGTGAGTCTAATGATACTAATCTGGTAATATTTAAACACATAGGCTTATAGTAGCTGAAATAGTTATCTTTCAGCTTGCATCTGTTTCCTGAAACCCAGAATGATCATATTTATCAGGTCATAATCTAGTTATTTCATATGCCTAAAATTACAAGAATAGAGATTATGCATGAGTAGACATTAATGCCATGGAGTGTATTGGGAGCTAGGGCAGATAAAATACAGCCTTACTGCCTGGAATGGAAAATGCTTTCATGTACGATTTTAATATCAGAACTCTAAATTACTGTCAGATAGCCTGACTTGATTTTCTTATAGGCTAATCTGTTAGTTTTGCTTACATTTAAACTTAAAATTTTCATTTTTAGTATTCTTTTCTTTAACTTGCTACTTTTCCAGGAGGTAGGAAAAGTAATTGGAATTGCTATTATGAAACACTTTGGATGGAAAGCAGATTTGAGGAATCCAAAATTAGAGGTAATGAGTATTTGTTTTATTTTATATACTTGTAACCTAATTCTTTAAAGACCGTGTCCTGTATTCTTATCATACCTTTCCGTTTTATTTTACAGTTGTAAAAAGTATATCGACAGGGATCCAGCAGTCCATTTTATCTTTAGTATTACAATAGTACAGATAGTTTTGCCAGCAGTTTTCACTGTGAAAGTATCTTATCCAAACTCCAAGAAAAGATTTTTTGGAATGAAGTTATCTGGTCACAGTTGAAGAAAAAACATTTATTATTATGAGGTTACAGCGATGTTCTCTATAGTCTCTATAATACACACAATCTATGATTTAAAAAACTTTAGCTAATGTTAAAAAATGGATAACAACAAAAGTCCTGCACAAAATTCAATAGTATGTGTTAATAGTGGCTTTGTTATGGATATGGGATTATGTTTTTATTTTCCAAAATTAATGTAATAAGGTTACACTGTTTTTAATTGGAACAACTATTTGTATGGGGAAACAAAAAATATTCTTTGCTATTTTTTGAAAGCCATCTTATAAAGTTGACATATAACCAATAATTTTCATGATTAATTCATAAATTTATTTATCACTTGTTATGTAGGTTTAAATGGAGTAATAACTGGACAAATCAGAACATTGTGTGTTGTTTTATTTTTAGATTTGCTTTTGTCTGACGTTTTTCACTTTAAAAAAAATGCCTGGTATATATTTTTTATTGTTTGTTGTACTAAATATTTTGATCCCAAGAATGTTTTGACATACAAGTATCTTTCTCTTACCTGCCCCTTTCTAATTCTTAATCATCTCTTTTCTGTGGCTTTCTCGTCCCCATGTCCCTGAGTCTATCTCGTTGTCTCAGAATTGTTTTTCTCATAGATTATCTCATGAATAAATATAGCAAATTCAATTCCTATCAGCCATTTAATGCAATTAGTAGCTATTATGGATAGAAATAACACAAAATTAGAAACACAAAAATCACATGTAGTAAAATTTATGACTAAAAAATTGACAGAAGAATCAAATCTCAACAAATTTCCTTCTGCAAAATTTTTTTTTTTTTTTTTTTTTTTTTTGAGACGGAGTCTCGCTCTGACGCCCAGGCTGGAGTGCAGTGGCCGGATCTCAGCTCATTGCAAGCTCCGCCTCCCGGGTTTACGCCATTCTCCTGCCTCAGCCTCCCGAGTAGCTGGGACTACAGGCGCCCGCCACCTCGCCTGGCTAGTTTTTTGTATTTTTTAGTAGAAACGGGGTTTCACCGTGTTAGCCAGGATGGTCTGGATCTCCTGACCTCGTGATCCGCCCGTCTTGGCCTCCCAAAGTGCTGGGATTACAGGCTTGAGCCACCGTGCCCGGCCCCTTCTGCAAAATTGATAGGAAAACATTTATAGTGGGAGAGGCTATTCTTAATAACATTCAATATGTAAACATGTCATATCTTTAGAATAAATTGTCGATAGAAAGTAATTCTAATAATTTTGCTAAAATGCATAATGTATAAAATTGGGAAGTTTAGCTGTGATGTATCAGTTAATCAAGTAATTAAATTGACCAAATTGTCACTCCAGGTAAGTCTTTTCTTGATGAAAGTAATCAATTTTGGAATAATTCTGATTAAGCTGCTAATATTTAAAGTTATCTTAGAATGAAACTGTCAGGGACCAGATATTCTTGAGATTCAAAACAGCATTTAAAATATTCTGTAAACCTTATCAGGCTACAAAAGAAAGATTCTAGCTTTTAAAATTTGTGTCGGCTACTAATTATAATGTGGGGCGCTTAAATACTCTTCTTGACCTAACAGAAGAAAGAAAATAAAGAGAGACAGAAACTTACCTATAGAGAAAAGAGCACCCTTGCTGCCATATATTTGACCTAAACAAAGTTTTCTGTTACCCTGAAAGTATTTGCAGCCTCTGATAGCCCTGTGTGGCCTCGTATCCTGTTTGAGGTTAGAATTAGGGTGGATTTAGAAAATCTTCTCTAACGCAAAATACTGAAGTCTGGTCCAGTTATGATAATTCCGAGAATCTCTAGGAAGAAAGTTGGTTTTGAGTTCTTTGTAACATGACTCTCCTGTATAACAAATTGACCTCAGCATTTTTCTGTGAAATGTACTTAAAATTTAGTTTCCTTCTGCTTAAGAAAAAAAAAGATTATAGAACATTTTTTTTCTAGATATGATGAATAAGGCCTTGGAGTTTCTTTTTAAAACATAGGTCATGTAAGTTTAAAATGGAAATTTCAAATTGTTGGTACTTTGGTAATGGTGTTTCTTATTCCATTCTAACTTCTGTGTTTATTCTTTCAGATCTTTATACATCTAAATGACGTTTACTCTGTGGTGGGGATTCCTGTGTTCAGGTAGATATTCTAAGCTTCAAGTTTGTCCCATAGGACAGATTGTTAAATTCAGAACTTATGTTTTTTATTTATAGCATGAATGAAGCATTGATACAACAGAGAAGGCTAAAGGCAAAGCATTTGAATTCTTTGCTTAAGACAATAAAATATTTTCATGGAACTTAGTGGATGTGATTTGAACTGATCAGTTACAGCTGGGAAATATTTGGTCATGGTAATCTGTTGATTACATGATTAATACTGAAAATTATATCTAGTTCTATTATTAAATGATTTTCACAGCCCTATAACTACACCTAAAAGGCTTCTAGGCTGCCCTACTCCAGTGCCTTTAATTGAACAATTTTGCCTATCTGACTTTTTAAAATTCTATGACAATTTTAAAGACAGAAAGTGTGGGGAAAACTAAAAGATGGACATATTTCAGCAATTATAATAATAAGTATAATTATTGATGGTCACCAAGACAGAAGTAGGAAACACTAGCAAAACAAGCAAAATATAAAATTTATGCATTTTTAAATTTATAAAGTAGTTAATTATTAAAAATATTTTGACCCCCAAAAAGTGAGCCTAAGCATCTAAAAAATTTACTTAGATACCAGGCGCAGTGGCTCATGCCTGTAATCCCAGCTCTTTGGGAGGCTGAGGCAAGCAGATCACGAGGTCAGAAGTTCGAGACCAGCCTGACCAACATGGTGAAATCCTGTCTCTACTAAAAATACAAAAATTAGCTGGGTGTGGTGGTGGGTGCCTGTAATCCCAGCTACTCAGGAGGCTGAGGCAGGAGAATCACTTGAACCTGGGAAGAGGAGGTGGCCGTGAGCCAAAATTGCACCACTATACTCCGGCCTAGGTGACAGCAAGACTCCGTCTCCAGAAAACAAAAAAATTTAGGAAGAGTATCTCACCCCTAGCAGTGCTGAGGTGGTATTAATTAGATTCTTACCACCAAATAAAATAACTCATTTTTAAATTATTATGTATAAAAATGCTAAATTTTGTGCTCTTTATTTAACTAATATAACCTTAATGTTTTTAAAAGGTATTTGATTATTTAAAATTATTTTAATGCTTGCTAGAAACATTCAAGACGTGATGCCATGGCATTTCAAATAATAATTGATAATGTACCTTAAAGTTTACAAATAAAAGATAATGTATCTGAAAATTCAGACTCAGACCTTGAGTGAGCACTGGTTGAAAATGAGGTTACAGTAGATGCTCTGTGTTTAGTCAGTTTGACTACCTCAGTGTAGGAAGGAAGCAGTCTCAGTGATGAGTGTTGACTAAAAAGAACAATTTGCTGGGACATGAAAAGGGGAGACATGAAGATTTGCACAACACTTAGCACTGGACAAGAGAAGTGACAGTGGATATCAGAAACTGCAACCTGGTGACCTAACAACAGAAGAAAGTCAGAAATGATGAAACAAAGTAGAGAGCAGCCATGAAGTTAGAGGATCACATAAAAATTTGTCCCAAGTTCCTAAAGACATTGTTCATATTTTGAGCTTTACTTTCTTTAAAGAAAAAAACCATTTGGATATCAATAGCCCCATGAAGCATTAACTGTTATGTAGCTGGTGCCACACTATGCGCATCACCTACTACAGTATAGCATAGCAGATAAGAACTGTGGACTTGAATTCTGTCTTCACAAATTCTTATAACTGCAAGTTTAGACAAATTATCATATTTCTGTGCTATAAAATCAGGAAAATAATAGTACCTACTTTATAGCTTCATCCTTGGAATTAAATGAGATAACTCACATGAAAATCTTTGCTACTGTTTCTAGGATACAGTAAGCATTGAATAAATTTCAACTTTTTTATTTTTGAAACAGTTCAGCAAGTAGGAGGGGAGGGCAGAGACATTTACTGGAGTAAGATGAGTTCAATTAATTTTAGTTGAAGCATCAGTTGTACACTTACTATATGCAAAAAAATTGTGCTAGACACCCAAAGTTCAAAGACAAAAAAGATGAGTATTAATTTCAAGGAATTCAATCCAGTGGTAGCACAGATCTGTGATAAATGCTTGACTAGAGTTAGGAAAGAGAACCTAACTCTAATTGAGGACCTGTGAGCAAAAAGATAAAAGATTGTCCCTAAGAGGAGACTTGACAGCAATAAGAATGGGTATGTCATGTGGACAAGAGAAGGAAAGGATGTTACGGCAAGGAATCTCTGTGCAAAGGCACAAGGTATAAGGAAGCTGGATTTACATGGGGGATGGCAGGTAGTTTCAGTGTAGATGGGACATAGAGAAAGTGGTAGAAAATTAGAAATAAGCCATGAAATGCCTTGTAAGTATGTTAAACAGCTTGGATTTTATCCTAAAAGCAATAAGAATTTGAAGCAGAAGAGTGAAGTGATCAGATTTCTGATTTCAAAAAAATTACCAAGAAAAAGATATTTTTAAATGAAAGAGAAATAAAAAGAGAGAATGAGAGGATTTAAACTCTTGGAGGTAGCAAAAAGGCCATGAAATCAAAAAATAGTTAAGAGGTCTAGAATAATTTCAGATTTCTGATTTGAACAATTAGTAAATACTGGTATTAGTCACTGAGATACAAAATGTAGCAAAAGAAAACTGTATTCATTGAAAAATGTCCCAGTAGATATTTGAAGTTACAGATCTAGAGTTCAAGTGACAAGTCTAGACTGAAGAGGTAGATTATGGTAGATTATGGTACCCAGTATATGGATAGTAAGTGGCACAAGAAAATGAAGAAACATATCAATATATGAAATCCAGGAGAGTGTATTCAGTTTATACCTGTTGACTTTGTACTACTTATCTTCCACATAAAAATATTCAAGTACATATTTGAAGATAAAGATCTGGGAGGTTCAGGTAACAAGTCTAGGCTAGAGGTACAGATTAGGACGTCTTTGTCTTGGTGGTACAAAGTGTACAAGAGAATAAAAAAGAAATGCACACATGCGGAGGAGATCAAAAACCACAATTATTTTTGAACGGTATACATTAGCTAGATTCTGTGAAAGTAGAGCATTATTTTTATTTTCAAGGAGTTTATTTCTGAACATGCCTTCTTCTGAATAATTGTATTATGCTGATATAATGGGGCCCTTTTGTTGAAGTAATGAGATAATTTTGCCCAGGTTTAAGCAAAATATGAACATTCACTTTTATCAAATATTGACAGAATTATGTCCCATAAAAACTTCTGTTAGCAAAAATATATACATAGTTGTTGAAACTTTGAAAGGTTCCATATAAATTCCTGCTGCTTAGAAGAGCATTTTTTTCATATATATGGACAAAGGTGGTTTTCCATACTGCATCTCCCTTTTTGGTATCTAGAATGCAAACTCTGTTTTTTAGTTTTGGCATCTAGAATGTAAACTGTGTATTATAGCTTTGGTATCTAGAATGCAAACTGTTTTACAGCAAGATAATTGCTAAGCTTACCCTGCAGAAGCAAAATTCACTGGCCAAAATATTTCATAGTGTTTCTACCTGCCAGTTTACATCCCTGATTCCAAATGTATGTATACAGTACTGTTTACTATGTGAATTATTTCTTAAAAAAACCTTATTAAAAAGCCAAACTCGCATGGGTTTGCCATGTAGAACTTCCTCATTATAATAGTAAGTATACAATTACACTTCTATTTTAAAGGGATATGTCATTTAGTTCTAAGATTTTAAGAGGCTTGCAACAAATACAAAAATAGGATAAGTTAAAGTCAAAGAAATATGAGAAACAAAATTATGAAAGAAATAAATGTTTAACATTCACATACCTAGAATTCTGTTGAACAACTTTAAGGAGGGTTTGAAGAACATCGTGGCTTTCCGTAAAGTTTGTAGAAGACCTCTCTTGGTGGTTTTGGAGCAAGCCTACCCCAAAACAAACCAGCACACATTCTTGACATCATGTCTTCAAACCTTACCAACAAATTGTAGAAGTGAACTAGAAAAGCCTGGAAAGATTCTGCTTGTTCATTGCATTGGAAAGATATAAATGATAGATGACATTTTGAAAATTTCTGTCAAATCTGGAAACATTGATATGATGGTGGCATTGATGAGGTAGAGGATAAAGTGTGAAGTGATGCTTGTTGGAGACCAGTGAACTGATTTGGGAGATGTCTGGTTTGGCCCATCATCCAGTAAATTATTTTAGACAGTGCAATGTCATGTTTCGTTTCATCTTTTGGGGAAGATGCAATAACCAAAAAACAGACCTACAAAAGGGACTTTTTATAGAAAACAGATCTTAAGGGTTAGCATCCCTTCAGTTCTACTTCCCATACTACATTTATATCACAAAATAGTATATTCCCCTTCATGACTTCAGAGAGCAAAAAAAGTCTACTCTGTATGGGAAGACAGGGAAGTATAAGAACGATTTTCCTCATGTGTAATTACATTTTTATACATTAAATACATGAGAGTGTAAATTTCAGTTGTCTAAAAATTTAACTTTCTGAAATTCCACGCTGGCTGGGTAGACAAGGTATCCATTAGAGAAGGAATTTTTGTAATAAGATTGAAACATTCTCTAACTTAGGGAATACTTTAGCATATGTTGGATCAATATGTTTAAATGATTCTCAGATTTGGACAGGTAAATCATTTTTATATCTTGTTGTTCAATGTGTAATAATATATAATCAGATTCTTTTCTTTGTAGGGTTCCTCTAGCCAGCAGAGGTTACATCAAGACAGCTGGACTGCGATCTACCATAGCGTGGGCAATGGCATCTCTCGCTGACATTAAGGTAAGAAAAATGTTTTCCTTCCTGTTAATAGCAAAGTTATTTTCATAATTAACTTACACAGTCTCTTACTGATGGATATTTGTATTACTTGCTTTTTCTTTTCTTAACGCTTTTTATTTAACTTCTTTTCTTTTTGCCATTATACTTACAAACTGCTGCAGTAATGCTTTTATATATTGTTGGACTTCTGAGCGTATTTTGGCTGTGAAAAGGCTGAGTCAGAAGTTAGCTACATTTCATTATTTCTAATGTTTGGTGTCACAGTTAGAAAATGTGGCCTGTAAAACCTCTGATTCTTAAATTTTAAGTTTTTTTCTGTGACCAAGATCTTGGTCAATTTTTGTAAATGTTCTATGGACGTAAGATGAGTTTATCTTCTAGTGAAGAAATGTTCTCCATTATTTTTACTTACCGTGTGTTTCTCTGCTCCATTTTGAAAGAAGTTTTTGAAATCTCATTATATTGTATTTTTTTAAGTTTTTGCATTTTTATGAGTTGTTGAATTATTCAGCTGCCATGTGACTTGGTATATACATGTTCGTGACTGTCAATACATCATTGTGAAGTGTGCCTTTTGTTACTTAAGTCCTGTTTATCTTGGTTAAGTTTAAATTTAAGTCTCACTGTCTTACTAATATTTTCACTCCTTTTTGTTTGCATCAGCCTAATATTTCTTTGCCACTGCTTTTTTTTTTTTTCAGCTTTACATATTTTCTTACAAACACACAGCTATTTTTACCCCACTCTGATGGTCTTTCAGTGAGAGAATTCAGTAAATGTTGTGACAGATAGACTTGATTATATTCTTCCTATTTTTATTCTATTCCTAACTTCTCACACTTTGTTTCCTTGTCTTATTTTTGCTAGTTTGATCAAGTTACTTGCTAATCATTTGTCTTGCCCTGTTTGAGGCTTCTGCTCTGGTTTACTTGTTGCTTGGGTAGTCTTATCTTAGGTATTTTTCTCAAATGTGGTATTTAATGATATACTGTTGGAATTTCTTTCTATCTTCAAATTTCTTCCTGTTATCTGGGTATACCTATCTTGGCTGGGTATAGGATTCCTGAATTGCAGTTCTTTTCTCTCAAAGGTCTGTAGATGCTATTCCATTGTCATTTAGCTTCCAGTGGCACAGATGAGCAGACCATGCCAGTGGGATTTTTCTTTTCTTTTCATTTATAACTACGTGGTTCCTTGTTTTTGGAAACTTGTAAGGTGTTTGTCTTTAATCTTAAAGCCCAGGAATGTCACCAGAACATGCTTATGTATGTCTTTTCTATTTAGCCCAGACCTTGGTGAGTCTTAGATTCTGGCCACCACTTACTGGCTGGGAAGCTTTAGGCAGGATACTTAACATCTTTGTGCCTCAGTTTCTCATTTGCAAGATGAAAAGAGTAGTAATATCTCATGGGATCATGATAAGATTAAATGAATTAGCATTAATAAAGTGATTAGAACAGTGCCTAACATTCGGAAAGTTTCTAAGTATTAGCTGCCATTTTGGTAATAATAAATAAATATAACTATAATTATTAATACCAAAATTATAGTTAATAACTAGAACTATAATTACTATTTGGAATATACAATAATTATAAAAATTATTATTTATTTTTACTTCTCCGGCCTGAGCACTTTTTCTTCCATTATTTAATTATTGCCTCGACTATTTAACGAATTTAACTTTAAACTAGTCTCTTTTTCCTACTTTCGAAATCCCTATTAGGAACGTGTTAAGCTTCCTGGTTCTATCCTCCAAGTCTCCTATCCTTTTGACATGATTTCCATCTCTTTATATTTGCATTTTGAGTTATTCTTGATCATTATCTTCCAAATTACAACAAGAGTCACAGAGACATGCTCTATTTTATTTATATTTTTAGATTTAAAATATGGCTGTTTAGCTTCATAAAGGTATGTGTGTCACATTTGAATATCTCTGAAAGCTCTTCTTTTGTTCAAATATTGATCCGTGTCCTCCAGTAATTAGTAATTCTATTTTACTAGGTGTGTGTTCTGATTATTCTGCGTATTTATTCTAAAACTACTGAGGGACCTCTTCCTTTTTATTCAGATGTGCCGTTGGTTTTTGTTTGTTTGTGTGTTTTGTTTTAGCTTGCTGGGGCTAAAATGTGACTGTTAAGTATTTTAAATGGCCAGAATCCTATAAATGGTAAAAGGCAAATGGATCTCTGGCACCCCAGGCTCAGCAGTGTAAGGAGAATCTGTCAGTCCTGCTGAGATACCTGGAGGAAACTTCTCTAGTCACTGACCTCTCTTTGGGTCCATAGATCTCTGAAGACCAAGCTCTTCCCTAGTTCCACTGATTCTCCCCTCTGGGTTCCACTGCTGTTCTCTAATCACTACCCAACCCACAGCAGGGAGGTCCCATCACACACGTTCCTTTTTCTGGGACTGTGACGGAGCCCTGGGCTTCTCTTAGCACCAGTTGCCTCTAGGTCCGAGCATCACTTGGCTCAGCAGAAGCAGAAAGCTTAGAGTTGAGAGTGGAGGAGGGAACCTCTTTCAGATTACCAGGTACCCAGAACCCATGATTTCATTTGTTTGTTTGGTTTAAATCTTTAGTTCAGATTTTTTTAGTATAACGAAAGAGGTATGGTTAATTTTTTCCCAAACTGCCAGTGGTTTCACCAGTTTGTATTTAAATATAAATTTACATAATCACCTACACATTTGAAATGTTACCTTTGTTTTAATATAAACATGTTTTTCAGAAAAGTCAAAAGTAAATGATCAAAAATATCCAAAGATAGTGCTTGATAAAACTTTTCCTTACTATGAATTTTCCCTGGGACTACAAAAAGAAAGAAATGTGTCTCTCAATGTGACCACAGGCCAAGGAGGTCTGTTAAAGAACCTGGGAAATGGCATGGTAGAGTTCTTTTGGAGGGAATGTGGTAGTGACCCACAGTCTGAGTGACCCCAGTATCCAACCTGATGCATTTCCCTTTGGAGCTTAGTATCGAGAGCAGTACACAGACAGCTCAGTCTTGGGTAGGCCAGTGCCACTAAAAATGAAATTTAAAAATGGGATGTTCGTTATTTATCATGTGTACTATAAACTGTTCTCCTTCCTACATATCATAACAAGGGAAATCAAGTTATATAAATCTTAAATGTTGTTATAAGTATGCAGAAATACTTCTCTACCTCAGCCTGTGTCTACAAGTGTCATGGCAAGAAAAGGTCCTAAGGTAAAATAAAGCCGTTTAAAAATACTTTAGGTCACATTATATCATTGAGCACAGATCATGGGAGAGAAGGAGCACAGTGTATGGCACATTTGAGATCCTAATAAAAATGGGTTCTCATACTGTTAACAATTTAACAACAAAATTTCCATTTAAATTTTTCCTTCTGCTCCTTACTGCCCCTTCATGGAGGATTTGTATGATACTCTCTTTAAAATTTAGTACCAGGGAAGGCTTCTGTCTCCTGAAGAACATTTTGTTTCTTTCCATTAGGTACCGTATGGCTGTGGCTGAAACCTGGCTGTCCCCTGAGGACTCTGCTTCCTCTGTAGACATAACAAGTGGTGGATGTTTTTTCTCCCCTATCTCGAGCACCACTGGGCCTGACAGTGGGGTACGTTCCTGCTTGCTCCTTCTTGCCCCTTCTAGACAATTATTTTCTTCCTTCTGCCCAGAACCTCACAGTGCCTTTGAAGCACATGCCATCAGATCACCCCAATCAGAGCTCTCTCCCTCTCATTCCTGTAAGAGTACAGGCCATTATTGCATCATGATTCTTTGGTCTCTGTAACCATTCAGTAATCTTACTCTTCATTTCTTGGCTTCCCTATTCATCTGTTGTAGTCACATCCTAGACCTTGTCATACCCAGAAGGGTATCTCTTCCAGAAATCTCAGTTTCAGGAATTTTGTTCTTAACCACCTCCTCTTTCCTATTTACTTCCTCTGCTACCCGAACACAAATCTTTAACCCCACAGGGCCCTCTAGTCATTTGACCCAACCCCTGTTCTTACCACCTGTGCTCATCCCTCCTTCACAGCTTGGATTTTAAAAATAGTCATTTCCTTGCCCATACTTTTAACTCTCTTCCTTCTTTTTATCCCTTTCCCCCCCCCCCCCTTTTTTTTTTTTTTGAGATGGAGTCTTGCTCTATCGCCCAAGCTGGACTGCAGTGGTGCGATCTCTGCTCACTGCAAGCTCCGCCTCCCAGGTTCACGCCATTCTCAAGCTCCCTTCCTTCTTATTTGACTTAAATAATAGAATCAGAAGAGAACTTCTACATGTTCTCCTCACCAAGTCTACCAACATACCAGAATCTATGCCTACATACTCTGCCTTATTGTTGTTACAATAAGGGAACTGTCCCTGTTCCACGCTAATGCTTGTGTGCCGGATTCCATTCCCTCTTATAGACTTAGGAATTTTTCCTTCTACTGGGTCATCCCCATCAGCATGTACACCTGCCGAAATATCTTTCAACTTAAAAAAATGAAAACCCCCCGCTGAAGCCATACATCCCTTCAGCCACCACCCCCTTTTCTGCTTCCCTTCACAGAAAAAGTCTTTAAAATAATTATCTACATTGGCTGTCTCTACCTACTTTCTTCCCATTCTCTCATATAGCAGCCTCCATGGGGCTTTCATCACCAACACTCCACTGAAGCTGCTCGTCTCACTTACCCGCCTGTCACTTCGACACTGATCACTCTCCTTCTTGAAGCAGTTTCTTCACTTTGTTTCAGGACCACTACTCTAGGTTCTGCTCCTATTATCGGAATGAGCTGCTTCTCAGTGTGTGTGGCTGATCTTCCTCTTCCAAACATGTGAACTTCAGAGATCACCAGGGGCCAATTCATAGACTTCTTGTTAAACTTCTCTTGCTTTCTAGATGATCACATCCAGTTCTGATGCTTTAAATATCATTTATAAGCTGACTGGCACTGACTGTTCCTAAATTTCTATCTGTAGCCTGAACCTCTCCCTTGAACTGTAGACTCATGTCCAGTGACTCACTTGACATTCACACTTAGAGGTCTAAGAGGTATCTCAAAATTAACAAGGCCAGAACTATACTCTTGTCTCCCCCAAAGTGTCTTCTCCCCAACTCTTCCCATGTCAGTAACAGGCAACTCTATTCTTCCAGTTGCTCAGCTCAAAAATTTTAGGCATTCCAGACTGTTGTCTTTCATTAACATTCCACATCCCATCCATTTTTGGCTCCACCTTTTAAAATATGTCTAGAATCCAACCATTTCTTACCACATCCACCAATTCCACTCTTAACTCAAGCCACCATCATCTCTTGACTGGACTCTCTAGCACTCTTACCCTTCTATGGTCTGTCCTCTGCAGAATAGCCAAAATGATCCCTTTGAAATGTAATGTTATAGGACTCTTGTCCTCAAACCCTCCAATAGTTTCCCATCCTTCAGAATAGAACCAGAATCCTTACACCACCTATGAGATCTGGCATGCTGTGATTTTCAGAGTGGGAGTAAGTCGTTTTTTCTGCCAGTTTCCTGTTTTTCTCCCAGGTACAGATAGGATTATACTTTCCTGGCCCCTTGACACTGCGTGGCATGTGACTAACAGTTAATACTGGTGGAAGTGATGTGCATCGCTTTCAGGTGGCACCTTTCAGAGCCAGTGGACAATTTGTCATGCTTTCTTTGCCTCTGCCACAGTGATGGCAGCACTCAAGATGATGATTGCTCGTCAGTTTGGGTTCCAGAGTGAGGAGCAGAGGCCCCAGGTGCCCTAATGTGGGCATACAGTGTGAGCTACTTGTTTTAAACCTCTAGGATTTGGGGGTTGTTACAACATGCAGCATAACCCAGCCCATCTTCACAGAATCCCCTTGTTCCCTCTCTGGGGCTTTCACTACCTTTTCCTGGGCTTTGGCCAGAATGGCCTTCTTCCTAATTTATAAACCTGCCGAACACACTCCTGCATTAGGGCTTTAAGTACCTGAAATTCTTAATAAAGTGTAAAAAGTAACCTTTCCTCTTGAAATACTGATTCCTCAAGCCTAGGTTTCTTTTATAATACCTACTATAGTAGTCTTAATAATACCAAATTAATATTTCCGTCTGCAGGCTGGTGCATTTGTTTTAGATCCAATGTGCGGACTTGGAACAATACTTTTGGAAGCTGCTAAAGAATGGCCAGTAAGTTCTGAAGTTTGGTAAAGCAAACAATTTATCTACTTTAATCAGTATATATAGTATAATCACCAATTATTTACAAGTAGAGTGTCTATTTTGGGAGTATTCTTTTTAATTATGTGAGTTATTCACTATACTCAAAATAGATTGTGAAGGATTAATTAAATTGCTGTTATTTATTTAAATAGTATGAATTTAGGAAAATATGACAGAATTCTAATCATTAGTCATGACCTAGATTATACTAATCCTCAAATTCTTTACACATTTGTCATTGTAAAATATTCACAGATTTTTAAAATTTTAACATAAACTTTACATTTTTTGATATTATCGTTTTAAAAGAATACCTTAAATGTGTTTTGACCTTAATTTAAAATCTACTAATTTCACTTCCATCATTTGAGAAAATGCAAGTTGATTTTCTTAACTACATAAAATGTGTAATAATTTTATTTATGCTTAAAATATTCTTTCTTTCCCCATAGGATGTGTATTATGTAGGTGCTGATGTCAGCAACTCACAGTTACTAGGTACTTGGGACAATCTGAAAGCTGCAGGCCTTGAGGATAAAATCGAATTACTTAAAGTCTCTGTTACAGGTAAGCTACTAAAAATGCAAAACAATTGAGAAAATGAACAATGTAAATATATTTAGAATCATACAAAACAAGACTCAGTATGTAAAGGTTGGTTTTACCCTGTAATATATCTGTGGGACTAATACTGAGTTTACTTCTAATAGTGTAACCATTTTATTTTCAAAGGGTTCATAATTGGGAAGTGAAACAATAAGCATGTAAAGCATGACTTAAAATGTGTGTGTTAAAAAGAGAAAAAAAAAGCATTTGTTGCATCTGAACCATTTCTCATATCAGAACCAGTGATCAATTAATATAGCCATAAAATAAGCAGTGTAATAATTCTCTGAATTTCTTTTGAATAAACTATATGAAATATTATTGCCTCACATTAGATAGTATCCCTGAGATACATAGGAGTAAGCTAACTATCCATCCCAATTTGCTAAACCAGGACTTGCAGTGCTAAAATCAGCAAAGTCTGGAGTAAACCAGGACAGTTGGTCACCCTGTGAGGTAGAGGGAAAGTATTACCCCCTATTTAATGAAGGGGAGTCAGCAGTGACACACGTGACTAGGAATCAAGTCTACTGAGACCAATCAAAATAGTATTTTCAGCCAGGTGCAGTGGCTCACACCTGTAATCCCAGCACTTTGGGAGGCCAAGGCGGGCGAATCACAAGGTCAGGAAATCTAGACCATCCTGGCTAACATGGTGAAACCCCGTCTGTACTAAAAATACAAAAAATTAGCTGGGCGTGGTGGCGGGCGCCTGTAGTCCCAGCTACTCGGGAGGCTGAGGCAGAAGAATGGCGTGAACCCGGGAGGCAGAGCTTGCAGTGAGCTGAGATCGTGCCACCATATTCCAGCCTGGGCAACAGAGCAAGACTCCATCTCAAAAAATAATAATAATATCTTCCTGAGGTCCATGGTATTTAGACTATTTTTAAAAACTATTCCTTGTTTTATTCCGTGTTCCCCAAGTATATATCTCCCCCTTAAATCATGAGTGCATTTAATTCCCAGTTAAGAACATTGTATTCTGTTGACAGTGATAGGTAGTAGATAGTTCCCAATATCAAACCTATAATCAGGAGGAACATAATATTATTTTAAAAATTTTGTTGTAGCGGAAAAGTAGTAAAGATGAGTATCAACAGAAGAAAATACTAGGATAACTTGCATAAAAGCATAGTAAAGCATCCCCAAAGAAGAAATTGTCTTGTTGATTGAGATCTCATAGTTGTTTGCTGTTCTGCCAAGGTTTTTAAGAGGACTCTGTGCGGGAGACACAAGTTTCTAGAGCAAACTAAGGGATGACTAGACTGCAGGCTTTCATAATCCCTAATTTCTTTAAGAATGCTATTTCTTTCAAACCTTTAAGAAAACTGAAATTGCGTCGTAAGTTGTTCCAGAGCAGTGAGTTTTCAATCCCTTTACATTCTCCAGAGCACCTTGTAGGCATGGGGGAGGGAGTACTGAGTTGGCCATTGGACCGCTGTTGCACTCCCAGCTCCACTTTTATGTATTTTCACTTTAGGGGGCTTTTTCTATAAGATTTCATTTAAAAAATGGAAGTGCTCCACTGTTTGTGTATGTGTTTTAAAGGTTCTCTGTGGCACCAGGTAACTGCGTAAATCTTCGTTTTTGAAAGGATTCCTCTTAGACTTTAGTGAGGGAAGGATGGAAACAAAGAGACTAGTTAGGATACTATTGCAACTCTAGCTATAATCCAGGTAAGAAATGACAGTGGCCTGGTCCAAGGTGGTATTCAAGGAGGTTTTGAGAGAAGGTCAGATATATATTTGGCAGACAGAGCCAACAGGATTTGTTGTCGGATTGGATGTGGAGTATGAGAGAGAACATTCTAGGCTTTCTGGCTTGAGCAGCTAGAGGATGGAGTTGTCATTACTGAGGTGGGGAAGACGGATGGTGGATCAAGTTACAGTTTAGGACCTGTTAAATTTCACACAATTATTAGACTCTAAGTGAAGATATCAAATTAGTACCTCAGTATCCAAATCTGGAGTTTAGGGGAGAGGTTGAGCATCACTGGTATAGAGAACATTTAGTTTCATGAAATCTCCTAGGGAGTGAGTTTAAGTAGAGAAGGGAAAGGGGACTGAACCTTAGAATACTCAGATGCTTGGACTTCGGGAAGGTGAGTATCTGGTAAAGGAACAGCCAGTGATGTAAGAGTGTAAGAATCCGGGGAAGATAGATAGATCAGCTGTGTCAGCTGCTTCTCATTGGTGAAGTACGATGAGGCCTGGTGACTGCAGAAGTCAAGGGCAGCTTCCCTGGAGGGGCTCTTGAGAGAATGGGAGGAGATAACTTGAAAACAACTAGTTGAGAGCATTCTGTCGAGCAGTTTGGCTAATAAGGAGAGCATAGAAATGGGGCGGTAACTGAAAGAAAGGATATCGGGGATCAAGCAAGGAATTTTTTTAAGATAGAAATTAGAATTTTTTGTATCTAGAATGTTTGATCTCACTAACAAGAAAAATCCAATGAAAAGGAGGAATTTGGCATGACGGAGGAGAGAGGAGAACCGCTTGTCTGCTGTATCCAGGCCCTAAGAAAGGATGGGATCCAGTGCCTGAGCGGTTGAGCGTGCACTTCTAGGAGCAGGGGAAGGCAGAGGGAGGAGAATGGACCTTAAAACAGGTCACACATTATAATTTTTATTACAGTTTTTTCAACTCTACGCATTTGATAGGTTTGCTTAAATTTACCTTTCTTTACTACTGAGAGAAACTTTTTCATGTTATGTCATTTGTAGATGATTCTTCTGTGAATTGTTTTTAGGATAACTTTCTGAAGGAAAGAATAAAACATCTGTTTCAGGTTATTTCATCATCACAACCTCGTTAAGTTTCAGTCTAGGAGGAACTATATGTCTTGCTAATACAGGGGCCAATTTTAACTAATAATTAGCCCTTTATTGCACCTACTTAGAGGTAGACATTCGGGCTAGATAAAAGCATTTATTTTCTTCATTAATTTGGTTTTTAAGAGCTCTAATTATAAATACAATTTAGAATGTTGAGATCTACAAATCCCTTAAGGGATCTCATGCCTTTTTACTGTAGGAATTAAGAACACTTACTGACTTTAAGAGTCACACCAAGTATAAATCCTAGCTCCACCATCATTTTTCCACTGTGTGGCCTTCAGCAGAAAAACTGGACCTCTCTTTATTTTCTCATCTGTAATGTGAAGATTATAATGCCACTCCATAAAGCTGTGATGAGGATTTATTACATAAACACACAGAGTACAGTGTCTAACGCACAGCATGAATTAGTAAGACATCTGTAAGCATTGGTGTGTTGGTATATCTAGGAAGTTAGTAATATTCATTCCCATTATGACTTACATTTCTGCAAAATCACAATCTTCAGCTTCTGTGTGCTTTAATGACTTTATTTTTTCTACCTTTTTAATAAGCATTCACTTTGTTTTATAACCCTTAACTAATATAAAAAGAAATGATCTTAGCCGGGTGCAGTAGCTTTATGCCTATAATCCCAACACTTTGGAAGACTGAGGCGGGTGGATCAGTTGAGCTCAGGAGTTTGATACTAGCCTGACCAACATGGTGAAACCCTGTCTCTACTAAAAATACAGAAACAAAAAAAATTAGCCAGGCTTGGTGGCTGTAGTCCCACCTACTCGGGAGCGTGAGGCAGAAGAATTGCTTGAACCCAAGAGGTGAAGGTTGCAGTGACCCTAGATTGTGCCACTGCACTTCAGCCTAGGTGACATGGTGAGACTCTGTTTTTTTTGGGTTTTTTTTTTTTTTTTGAGACAATCTTTCAACATGAAGAAATCATATGTATTTATTCCTAAGTTTTAATCATTATGAAAATTTGGAATCAAATGAATATTATGTTACAGGTTATCTTAGGAAATAGCAATTAGTCATTAGGCTTTTTTAAATCTGCAGATATGTATACATTCTCAGTATAAGATGGAAACTATAACATAAACATATTTGAGCAAAAGAAACACATTTATGGTTTAATTAAAATGGCAACATTATAGCTAAAAGGAAATATTTTCTTTCCTTCCAGTTAGGCGTTCTGTAGCCTATCACACATCACTTAAGTGTAGATTTATAACAAGATTATTGGCAACAGTTGTGCTTTGTTCTCAAGTGTTTCCATTCTTGTATAAGATGGCGTGCTTTTTTCAGGACACCCATAAGCACCCCATAATGTGGTGTTTGCATTTTCTCTCGTACTGGTGTGTTTTCTCCTCTGCTGCCTGTCCTGCCTCTGCTGGCTTGGCGTTGATGTTCTAGCCAGGTGTCTTATGGCCCATGCCGTATACTGCAAGATTCATGAAGCTGCCAGGCTGCCCATTTGGGAAATCAGAGGGAAATGTGGAAAGTGATGGGGTAGGTGTATATGAAATATGCGTAGAAAATAGGGGATAAGTTCAACATAGAGAGTAGTTCACATGTTCTTGCTGCAAAAGCTTTATCATTTATTATATGGTATAAGTCCTTTTTTATTGTTTGGTAACACTTCTATTTTGTAACAAACTCAGAAGCAATAAGGTTTTAAAAATGCATTTTTAATGAAAAAGTAAGTGTTGAGTTTCTATTTCTTAAGACAGCTGATGAACATATAATTGAGTCAATATTTGTTGATATTTACAGTCCTACTGTGAAGACCATGGCGATATCACTGACCAAATGAAACAAGTCTGTTTATAGAGGCATCAAGCATTTACCTTAAAACTCAGTAGCTCTTAAACAAATTTTTTGTTGTTTTTTGAGAGAGTCTTGCCCTGTCGTCCAGGCTGGAGTGCAGTGTGCAGTCTCGGCTCACTATAACCTCCACCTCCCAGGTTCAAGCAATTCTCCTGCCTCAGCCTCCCAAGTAGCTGGGATTACAGGCACACACCATCACCCCCAGCTAATTTTTGTATTTTTAGTAAAGACAGGGTTTCACCTTGTTACCCAGGCTGGTCTCAAACTCCTGAGCTCAGGCAATCCACCCACCTTGGCCTAACAAATTTACAAGAAAAAAGCAACCCCATTAAAAAGTGAGCAAAAGACATGAGCAGACACTTCTCAAAAGAAGACATTCATGCAGCCAACTAACATACAAAGAAAAGCTCAACATCACTGATCATTAGAGAAATGCAAATCAAAACCACAATGAGATACCATCTCATGCCAGTCAGAATGGCGGTTATTAAAAAGTCCAGAAACAACAGATGGTGTTGAGGTTGTGGATAAAAGGGAATGCCTTTACACTGTTGGTGGGAGTATAAATGAGTTCAACCGTTGGAAAGACAGTGTGGTGATTCCTCAAAGATCCGGAGGCAGAAATACCATTTGACCCAGCAATTCCATTACAGTGTATATATCCAAAGGAATATAAATCATTCTGTTATAAAGATACATACACACGTATGTTCACTTGAGCACTATTCACGATAGCAAAGACATGGAATCAACCCAAATGCCCATCAATGATAGACTGGATAAAGAAAATGTAGTACATATATACCATAAAATACTATGTAAACATAAAAAGGAACAAGATATTGTCCTTTCCAGGGACATGGATGGCGCTTGAAGCTGTTATTCTGAGCAAACTAACGCAGGAACAGAAAACCAAACACTGCATATTCTCACTTATAAGTGGGAGCTAAACGATGAGAACACATGGACACATGGGTGGGGGACAACACACACAGGGGTCTGTCAGGGGGAGGCCGGAGGGGAGGGAGAGCATTAGGAAGAATAGCTAATGGATGCTGGACTTATTACCAAGGTGATGGGTTGATCTGTAGCAAACCCATGCATCCTGCACATATACCCTGGAACTTAAAAGTTGAAGGAAAAAAATAAAAACTTACTAATTCTAAGAATGCTAGGCCCAAAGCCAACTATTTATCACATGCAACTGAAGAAAATACATTTAAAATATCACTCTGTGAAGTATGACTTTCCTTTTAGATCAAATGGCTATTCTAAACTTATTTTGCTCACATTCAATTGTGAGTTTTGTTACGTACCTAAGCAGAATGAAGCTGGTACTGTTAGTGTGCTGGCTTCATTAGCAGAAGACCTTTGCAGACAGTTAAGTGTTGCCAGTTTTGTATCAATATCATCACATGATTTAGAAAGATAATCAGTTAAGTCAATTCCAGTAGTAGCTTTGTTTCCTTTTTACCCTAATTCTTAGAAATTTCGTCGGGTTTTTTTGGTCAAAGATGTAACTTCTTTGTGAATGCTACTGTAAATTCAGTTCGGCATTGCCCATCTGTGTGCTTATGCATTACTGTGGTGGGCCACAACATCATGCTAAAAATTAATATTCTTACTAAAACCTATGGAGCAGAAAGGCACTTGAAATTCATTGTTACACGTGTATAAATCATAATTATCTCCCAACAGGCTGCAGTGTCCATTGAAATAGACATTTGTCAAAATAATTGAATTTTGTTTTTTTTTAAGACAGGGACTTGCTCTGTCACCCACTAGAGTGCAGTGGTCTGATTATAGCTTACTGCAGCCTTGAACGAACTCTTGGGCTCAGGCAGTCCTCCCATCTCAGCTTCCCAAGTAGCTGGGATTGTAGGAGGCGCTCACCACCATGCCTGGCTAATGTTCTTTTTTTAAAAAAATAGAGGTAGGGTCTCACGGTATTGCCCAGGTTGGTCTTAATTGATCCTCCCAGCTCAGCCTCCCAGAGTGCTGGGATTACAGGTGTGAGCCACCCCATACCTGGCCACTTTTTTTTTTTTTTCATTGAGACGGACTCTCACTCTATCGCCGGACTGGAGTACAGTGGCGCAATCTCAGATCACTGCAACCTCCGCCTCCTGGCTTCAAGCAATTCTCCCACCTCAGCCACCCGAGTAGCTGGGACTACAGGCGCATGCCACCACGCCCAACTAATTTTTGTATTTTTAGTAGAGACAGGGTTTCACCATGTTGGCCAGGATGGTCTTGATCTCTTGACCTCATGATCCACCTGCCTTGGCCTCCCAAAGTGCTGGGATTACAGGCGTGAACCACTGCACCCGTCCTTCTTTTTAAAATATACACAGAATAGCTGAACTGCAAACTATTTGTGATGAAGATGACTGAATGCCAAAAAATGCTTCCGCATAGCAGTACGCTTTCTTTGCTTGTCCATCAGTTGGATTTTAAAGTGTAAGCCTTCAAAGAATTGCTCTGTAAATCAGCCAAAGTGTCCTAGGATAGTGCTATAAACTTTACCAAAAAAAAAGTTGCCTAATTTTGATGGTATTTTATTCAGAATATACTAGAAATCTGTAATCAAAGGATTCAACAAATGAAGTGTCAAAATACATGAGGTTTGAATTTTTTGGCGAATTACAGTTGTTAAAAACAAAGCTGGCAGCAGGAAGACATTGATCATCTTTCCCTAAAAACCCAAAGGAAGAAGTGAACAAATTATTGAAAGCTCAACAATGCACAAGACTTAATTATGAAATTCTGTAAATATACTTTGGATATGGTATGGAAAGAGTCTCCTGATGACTTTCCTTATTGTAATTGGGTAAATTTGTAGTCTAGAATGGAATGGAATGAATTTGTGAAGGCCTTAACTTTGTATCATCTAAAGTTGGTAAAACAATTAAAAGAATAATAGAGGTAATTTGCGTTTTGTGTTGTGAACATATTTGTCAAAGGCACTGTCAGTGGAGGGACTGAACTGGAGGGCTGAAATATTTACCCTTCCCATATGAAAAAATTGAACTGAAAGTATACTTCATTTACCAGAACTTGTTCAGATATTAGCACTGTAGGCAAATTATTTTTTCTCAAAAAAAAATAGTCTTTTGTTAAACTTAAAAATTTCATTTTGCACAGATATGTTTTTAGGGCCACCATAATAAGCCAGTTTATTGGATAATAAATATTTCAAATATTTCAAGCATATGATTTTCATATAAAATAACTAGCATAGTTATTTCTAGCATTCGCTTCTCAGAAATGTTCATTTGGTCTGTAAATTGTATGGTGACCCAATCCAGATGCCAGACTACATTTTGCGTGTTTAAGACTAATGTTTATGGACTTCTTAAGACGGCAGATTGAAATTTCATTGAAAGCGTTACCCCCTCTTGTATTTACTGAGATGAGAAAAAGAATAGTAATCATCAAAAAAACAAATTCAGCAACCAAACAAGAGAAGGTCATAATCTAATGCAATAAACCTCAAAATATATTTTGGCCACAATGGAAAGAAAATGTTACAGAGCATTTGACAATAGAAGAGTGGTTATTTACAAAGTTAACGAAGCAAAGTATGACCCAAAAATATTATGCCTAACCAAAACATCATCTTAAAGCCAAACATTTTGAAATATGAAAAAGTTCAGACAACATTTCACAACTAAGCCCTTATGGGGAAAACTATTTAATTCCAGGGATTAAGAGATTAATCAGCTGAGAAGTGGAGAAAATAAAGGCAAAATGATTAGTGATAAGGATGAAATTAACTGTAGAACTAAATTTGAACAATTATGGGAATTACTGTTAGGAGACAGAATCTGAATATTATAAACCTGGACAATAGAAAGAATAAACAGCAGAAAGAACAAGGAACAAAAATAGGAAGAAAGATATGCTCAATTTTATAAAAGTGCTCAATGAACCTGGTCTTTAGTTTAAATATATGCATGAAAAGACATCTTGAAGGCCCATAAATCCCTTTGGAAGAAAATATCTTGGGGCCATAATCCTGAGGTTTAGGAAATTTTTACCCATTTTTCTCCTGGAAGTAGGAAAAATAGGGCAGTTTTTCTTTCTTCAAAACAACTGGTATTTTAAAACTAAATTTTTTTCATGTTCTTGAATCATCCTGCAGAGATGTAAAAAAGAGATGATTTTTACTTGTTTTGAGCTATGTTTCTATTTCAGAATCTTAGCTCATTAGTTACAAGCAAATTTTTTGTTCACGAGCAGTATTCAGAGCATCTAATAATTTAAAAGATTTTACTGTATGTTGAGTCGTATGGGTCAGGTGCTCACGGTTCTAGGAGTATCTGCATCTAAACCTATGGAGGTGGGGACAACAATCTGTTTTATAAAGACCTTTCAGTTGATTCTAATACGCACTAAGTTGTACTTTCCAGATGATACTGACGCTGCTGCTGTGGGGACCACACTTTGAGAACCACTGATAGAGGAAAGGAGAGTAGGAGAGAGGCCCACCTGGAAGTAGTTGCCTTACCTTAACCTTGGATGTCCAAGAATGAGAGAGAAGGGGATACTGTGTTCTGCAAAGCTTTTTTGAAGGATGGCACACTGGTTTCCACCTGGCTGTCATCTCCCATTGACATCAGAGAGGGACATTATAAATAATGACCACAAAGCAGCTAACAGTTACTGAGTGCTCACTTTGTGCCAGGCCTTGTTACATGTCTTCCATATATTACCTCTTTTATTGACTTCTGAGGTACATATTCTTATTCCATTTTACAGATGAAGAAATTGAAGCAGTAATTTCCCAGAGTCCCACAGCTCGTGAGCAGCAGAGCCAAATGCAAGCTGTCTGACACCAGAGCTTATGCTCTCAGCCACATCAACAAAAGCTTTATTTTATGCTCTATTGGAAGATGACATAACTTAGTTCTGGAGATTTTTTTTTTTAATTATTCTCTTCTATCTATATGAAGTTTATGTATTCAACTTCTAAAATTATTTAAAGCAGTTTAGCATATTATATAATATAGAGCAGCAAAGTTCCCAATAAAAATGGAGACCCAGAAGAAAAAAATTAGTGTTACTAAACCTGGACATAATGGGCAGCTAACTCATATGTAGGTACTGTATTTCTGTGTAGTGTAAGGCAGAAGACAGACTTGGGATTAAATTCAAAAGTAAATTACTACATGCTTCCTCATAAATAAAACATTTGAGAACTATGGTTGCCTTCATTATCCATATATTGTCTTTAGTCATTTTGTAAATGGATGTGTACTATATCAACACCCTAAAACCATGAGGTTAAAACATAACTTGGAAAAAAGGAATTCCTGTCTCAGCTTAAAAGAATATTATCCTCTTATTTTTTTTTGAACAATCTACTCTTCTTCTGTTAACCCCACATAAGGGTTAGAACTAGGAGAGATCTAGCAAGTAGTCATTAGACTTTCCCAGATTACAAAGCATTTTTTATTAAATTTCCTACCAACAGAAACTTTTGATATTTAGTGAAGATTATTTAAATTTCATTACATTTCTGCAAAATTAGGTACTATTCAAAATGAAAACTGGGACATCCGTCTTATGAGTATTTAACTTAATTTAGGAGATGGATGAGAAGTAAAGTAAGTAAAAAGTGGAAAGTACATCCAGAAGATGTGGATGTTAGGGTAGAGTCTTTGTTACCTTCTGATAATGTAACTTCTGAGAAGAAAACATTAAGATAATAAAGCAATTTAGAATAATCAGACACTATAATTTTTAGTGATAATCATTGTGTTGATTATTGATTATATAGCCTTTTCTCTAGTCTTAGGACTTAATAGATATTCTTAATCTTCCAAGTTCTCCTTTAAAAATACAATCATAGCTATGGATCGTCTCCCTCAAAAACAAGTAGATCTAAATGTACAGTTTTAAAATAGGAAATGAAAGTTGTAGAATATAATTTTGTAGAAGATTTTTCTAGGCAACTTAGTGGAGCTAGCAGCTTTCTATACAAGCTGTATATTTAGAGAATTGAGTTTTCTGGTTTAAAATTCTGCTTAACTTACATTTTATTGTATCTGAAAAACCAATTTTCGACGAACAGACTACAATAACTATATCATTTATCATTAGTGATTGTGAAAGCATTTTGGGATCTTGTAATTACTTTAAAACAATATTAGCAACACTAAATTTTATCTATTATGCAAAAATAATCCTGTGTACTTCAGTTTTCTCATTATTTAGGTTGTAAATATTTGACCTTACTGTAATAGGATTCTCTGATTTCTGTATTTCAGAATTGCCATTGCCTTCAGAAAGTGTTGATATTATTATTTCTGACATTCCATTTGGGAAAAAGTTTAAGTTAGGAAAAGACGTCAAAAGCATTCTACAAGAAATGGAAAGGTAAGTTGCTGAATTTATTTTCATAATTTTTTTAGCTACTGGGCATTTAACCGAAATACATCATAGCTCTTCAGTTAAGGTCTGATTGCCTTGTAGTAATTTCCTAGAGTTTTTGTAGCTTAATTTTCTAAGGGTTTTAAGTCAGAAGTTTATAATTGAAATAAATGTTATCCATATCATCTTATAAATTTTATTCAGAAAAAATACTAATTTTCTATTGTGTACTGAGATTTGAATGTATGAAATAGTGACCTATATTTCAGTGGTCTGAAGCAAAATTTTACATATTTGCTTCTATCCCTCACAAAAAAAAAACCTGCCTTCTGTGTGTTAATCCACCACACGTAACAGATGAGAATCTGGGGCACAGAAAGATTAACTTTCTTATGATCACTCAGCTACTAAACAACAGAACAAAATTCTGTTACATAAGGAACCTTCCATAACATAGAATGAGCAACACTTTTATTATTTGTTATTGTCTTTGTCCATTTTCTGTTGCTATGAAGGAGTACTGGAGGCTGGACAGCTTGTAAAGAAAACAGGTTTACTTGGCTCGTGATTCCGCAGTCTGTAAAAGCAGCACAGTGCCAGCATCTGCTCAGTTTGTGATGAGGGCCCAAGGGTGCTTCCACTCATGTCAGAAGGCAAACCCAGTGTGCAGAGATCACATGGCAAGAGAGGAAGCAAGAGGGAGAAGGGGGAGGTGCTAGGCTCTTTTTAACAACCAGCTTTCCCTAGAACTAATAGAGTGAAAACTCACTCATCGCCCCTCACAGGGAGGGCATTAATCTATTCATGAGATATCTGCCGATGTAACCCAAACACTTCCCATTAGGCCCCATCTCCAACACTGGGGATCAAATTTCAACATGAGGTATAGTGGGACAAACATCCAAACCATAGCAGCTGTGAAATGAAAATGTGAAAGTATTCATCTTATGGTTTCTAATGACGTAAGGGAATATAATTCAATGGAAGCATTTCTTTGAGAGGTTGAAACAATGAGGCATGGATATGCATTTTTCTGATCATCTAAATTGGTAAAGAAGAGAACCTAGAATGCATATAGTTATGAATGGACATGAATATAAGAGTTCAGTTGATATTAAGTTGTTTAGCTGGGCATTTGATAACATAAATGTCAAGAGCCTGCTGTGTAAATAATGGGTCACCAATTTAAAATATGAGCCATGTGTTTTAGCTAGAGAAAATTCTAGGCATCTTGCCATGTATATATGTACAGAAAGATACATGTTTTCTACTCTACATAAATGGGATTATCCTTAACTTACTATACTGTAACATTGCTTTTTTTCTACTCAGCAGTGTCATGAATCTCCTTTCTGATCAGTTGTTATAATATACATTATAATTTTCAGTGGTTGCCACATTATATGTATGTACCATTATGCAACCAGTGCTTATGGATTAATATTTAGATAATCCTCAATTTTTTATTTTAATAAAAAACTATTCTTTGAACATCCTTGCATGGTTTTTCAAACTTAACTGTACGACCAAGCACCACAGTACCAGTTTCTTCATCTGCAAAATGACAGTGCTATAGAACATACTTAGAAGGATAATTCTGGAGGTTAAATGATATATAATACAGAGCATTTCCAACTGACTGGCACATATTAAATCCTCAATAAATATTAGCTATATCATCATTATTATCGCTATTATTCTACTACTATTCTACTATTACGTTCTTTTATTTTGAAAACTTTTATTTTGAAATTGAAGTTTTTGCTCAGAAACTGGGCAGAACTTTTCACATTCTGACAGAATACAAAACTTAAGTCTAAAAAATATTCGGTAACTTTTTTGCCAAAAACATTAGGCACTTTAGAGTATAAAGCAGAAACTCTTACCAAGCACGTGTACCCAACAGCCGTTTTCTTAGGATAATTATGTTTTCTTAGGATACTACTATTACGTTTTCTTAGGATAATTTCCTAGAAGTGAGATTGCTGGGTCAAAGGTTATGCACATTTCATATTTTTGATACATTATTGCTAAACTGTTGCCCCAAAAAGTTATTTCAGTTGATGTCTTCAGGAGTACTCATTTTCCCATCCACTTCCTCCTTGCTCAGTAGAAGAGGTTTCCCTCTTCCTGTGAGGGTTTATCCTCTCAGTTCCTTCCTCCTCAAGGATCACACTCTGCCCACTTCTCATTTTTATCTTCTGCCTACTCATCTGCTGGTTCTTTCCTGGAGATTCATTTATCCCTTCCCCAGACACATTTGGAAGTCTTTGCATCTCCTATGCACTTCCATGTACTTGGCCCTGGGGATTACTGCAGTGAATAGGACAGGCAAGGTCTCTGCCCATTCATTGTGAGAAGACAGATGGTTAATCAGTAAACAAACTGGATAATATCAGATCATGACTGGTACTGTGATGGACATAAAACAAAATGTTTTGCTTTAGAGTGAGAGAAAAGTAGTGGTTACCCTAGCCAGGTAGTCAGGAAAGGCCTCTCTGGGAAAGTGGTATTTGACTGTGGGACGTGAATGATGAGCGTGAGTGATAAATGCGGGGTGAACAGCAAATCCAAATGTCCTACGGTGAGAAGCAGCTTGGTGAGTTTGAGCAGCTGAAGGTCAGTAAGCAAAGAAAGCAGGCTGTGACACCAGAAAAGTAGGTGAGGGTCAGATTGTGTAGGAACCTTGGTTGCCAGAGTAAGGGGGTTAGAATGTATTTGAAGTACAGTGCAAGCAACTGAGGAGTTAGCAGAGAATTTACATTTGTCTTCTGTGTGGAAATGGAAGACAGAGTGGGAGGGGCGACAAGAATGGAAACAAGACCTGTCTACCAGATTGTTGCTGTGGTCCCGGCAAACTATGAATGAAGTAGACAAATATGTGATACAATTTAGAGACAGAATTGTGTAGCTTTGCTGATGGATTAGACTAGGGAATGCTACCTAAGCATCTTAGATTTTTGCTGGGCATGAGGCAGATTCCACTTAACTCTTGATCCTTTAGCTGCCACTCTGTATCTTCTCCTATACAGCTGAACTTCTTGAAATAATAGTCTACACTTGACACCTCTGCTTCCTTACTTTCCAGTCCCACTCCACCCTGGCAGACGAGCATCTGCTCCTGCCTTCAGCTAGGATTGCTGTCCCTGGGGTCACTGATGATTTCTCATAATCCTGATCACCTATTAGTCCTATAGCATTTGTTATTTTATTGTATTTATATATTTTTTATTTTATTTTAAAGACAGAGTCTCTCTTGCCCAGACTAGAGTGCAGTGGTGCAATCTCAGCTCACTGCAATCTCTGCCCCCTGGGCTCAAGCAGTCCTCCCATCCCAGCCTCCCAAGTAGCTGGGACTACAGGCACACGCCGCCACACCTGGCTGATTTTTGTGTTTTTTTAGTAGAGACATGTTTTGCCATGTTGCCCAGACTGGTCTCAGACTCCTGGGCTGAAGCAATCCTCCTGCCTCAGCCTCCCAAAATGTTGGGATTACAGGCATAAGCCACCATGCCGGCCCTATAGCATTTAACACTGTTGAAACTGTTTCCTTCTTGAAACTGTACTTCTTTGGCTTCCTTGACATCACTGTTGTCCAGATTTTCTCTGAGGATGTCTATTTCATGGGTCTTCTCCTCTGTCACTTTTAAAACGTGAAATCTCTGGCTCCTTGTCCCATTTTCTCTTCTCAACCTGTACTGCCACCCCAGATGATCCCATTCACCATTATGGCTTTAGCTACCATTTACTATATCTTTACCTCAAGGCCTGGTCTTTTCCATTACTCCAGGCTGTGTATCCAGCAGTCTGGTGGAGTCCACACTTACGTGTTCCTTAGGTACATCAGCAAATTCCAAGCTGAACTCCTTACTCCCCTCCTCCCTCCACCTCCCACCCGCTCTGACTCACCCACCCACTGAGCTGCTTTCAGAGCTGCCTCCCCTCCACTTCCTCCCATCTTTGCTGCTTTTTCTGCTTTCAGCATCCTCCCTTGCTGCAGCCGCTTGCCGTTGCTTTGCCTGGCTCATTCCTGCTTATCTTTTAACTCACAGCACAGGTATCTTCCTCTGGGAAATGCTCCCCTTTCTCCCATGCCCGGGTTTAGGACCCACCTCATGTTCCCAAGCCCCTCATGCCTGCCTTGATTGTAGCATTTCACTCCCTTTACTTGCCTCTCTCTTCCAAAGAGATGTTCAGTGATCTCTTAGCAACTTCCAGGGCTGTGTGCGGGACACAGGCAAGTGTTTTCATCACTTTTTCCACATAAGTGCTACTACACAGACTGATAATTGAGTAAATGCATTCTCCTCAAAAAGCTGACATTTCAAGGTCTGCCCTTCTTTTTCTGATTTTTGCTTTGCCATTTCTTTGTTTGTGTCCTAACTCTTTCCCGTTAACTTTCTTCTGCTGTCAGCCTACTGCTTTTAATACATGCAGTCTTTAGGATTCTGTCATTCGCCTTTTCCTTTGTACAGTCATTTATTAGACTGTGACTACAAATTACTTTGAGGCTTGCCTTTTAAGTGGAGTAAAAATAGATAATTAAAGCAGATTTGTACTAGGGATTTCATAATTACTATAATGAATATACATTATAGAAGATACTACCTAATTATCAAAAATCCTTGTATTTAAATGGATAAAATTAAATTTCAAATTAAAAACACGAAATATTTTAAATGAAGTGGGATTGTTTGTTGTCTAGAAAGGGAGACAGATAGCAATTACCATTTTTTTTGTCACAGAGTGCTTCATGTTGGCGGAACCATTGTATTGTTGCTTAGTGAAGATCACCACAGGCGCCTTACAGATTGCAAAGAGAGCAGCATCCCTTTGAATTCCAAGGACAGTCACACAGATGAACCTGG